TTCGCATATTGATTATTGATTATTCAAAATATTTTTGCTATATAATTACCCAAAAAAAAGTAAACTATATAATTAACCAAAAAAAGTAAACTACATAATTACCCAAAAAGTAAACTATACAATTACCCAAAAAGTTAACTATATAATTACCCAAAAAAGTAAACTATAGAATTACCCAAAAAGTTAACTGTAGAATTACCCAAAAAGTAAGCTTATTTCACATCACTGATTATTGATTATTCAAAATGTTTTGCTCTATAATTACCAAAAAGTAAGCTATATAATTACCCAAAAAAAGTAAATTATACACTTACCCAAAAAATAAACCATATAATACCCAAAAAGTATGCTATACAATTACCCAAAAAAAAAAAAAATGATTAAATGATACAAATAAAGTTAAATTTATATTTTGATCAAAAATATTATACTTTTTTTTTTTTTGTTAAATTTTTCAAATTAATTTCAAAACAATAACTATTAAAAAAGAAAGAAAAAGTTTTAAATATATTAAAATTTATGATTCATTCATTTTTAAATGTTTATGAAATAAAAAAAAAATTAATTTAATTTAATTTAATTATTCTAAAAATGAAAAAAAAAATTTTTTTTTAATTTTTATTAAAAGCGCAAATGTCGTATTATCATTAGCTATGTTAAATTAATAATAAATTGAAATGATAGTGAATGATAAGTGATTAAATATCTAACTTTCATACATTTCATTTAATCTTTTAAACTTTTTTAAAACAAAAAAAAATAAAATCAATGAAGATAAGAGAGAGAGAGAGGACAGAGGGAGAGAGAAAGAGAGGAGAGAGAGGGAGAGAGAGAAGGAAGATATACATTTGTGATGATTGATTTGATCGATTTGCGCTTTTTATTATTTATCATCAGATAAATTATTTTTCATAAATCTTTTTTTTTTTCTTCTTCTTCTTCTCTTTTTAAATTTAATTATAATTAATTTTCAAATGTAATTAATTTAAATTCAAATGTAAAATTTTTTTTTTTGTTTAAATAAAATTAGCAAAAAAAAAATAAATAAATAAATAAACTAAAATTTTTGTTATTTGATAATTTGTTTTTTTGTTTATATTAGTTATTTATTTGTTTACAAATCAATTTCATTTTGTATTATTATTTTTTAAATTAATCATTTGTCTCTTACAATTCAATTAATTTTATATTTTTAATTCCTTTTTTTTTTTAGAAATTGAATAATTGAATAGAATTTTATTTAATGAAAAGTAAATTTTTCTTTTTTTTTTTTTTGTTAAATGTTAGATGCAATGAAATTTATCTTTTCAGCTAACAATTTTCAATCGTTTATTTTGTTAAATGATAATGATAAGAGTGATAATAATAATGATAATATGATTATGTGTGATTAGCATAAAAAATAAATATGGGAGAAAAGAAAAACAAAAAGTAAGTTTTATTTTTTTTTTATTTTTTTAAAAGTGTTTAATAAAATATTATTATGATATTTATTACTGAACTAATTAATTAATTACATATAATTTTAAATAAAATAAATAAAAATAGAACATAGTGATAAGAGTGATAATAATGATATGATTAGCATGAAAAATAAATATGGGAGAAAACAAAAACAAAAAGTAAGTTTTATCTTTTTTCTAATTTTTTATTTTTTTAAAAGTGTTTAACAAAATATTATTATAATAATTATTATTACTCAAATACTGAATTAATTAATTACATATAATTTTGCACAAAATAGAAATAAAATAAAATTAAATAAAATAGAATAAATAAAATAAATAAAAAATAGAGTATAGTGATAAGAGTGATAATAATGATAATATGATTATGTGTGATTAGCATAAAAAATAAATATGGGAGAAAAAGAAAAGTAAGTCTTATCTACAAAATGTTATTATAATATTTATTACTAAATTACTAAATTAATTAATTACATATAATTTTAAATCAAAATAGAATAAATATAAAACAAAAATAAAAGGCATAAATATAAACAAAAATAAAGCATTGATGTAAATAAAAATAAAGCATAAATATAAATAAAACAAAGCAAAAATATAAACAAAAATAAAGCATTGATGTAAATAAAAATAAAGCATAAATATAAATAAAAACAAAGCATAAATATAAACAAAAATAAAGCATTGATGTAAATAAAAATAAAGCATAAATATAAATAAAAACAAAGCATAAATATAAACAAAAACAAAGCATTGATGTAAATAAAAATAAAGCATAAATATAAATAAAAACAAAGCATAAATATAAACAAAAAAAAAGCATAAATAAAATTTAATAAATTTTAAAAATTCATTATTAACACTTTAATAATACATCAAAAATGTTTATTTCTGATGATTTTAACATTTTTTTTTTTTTAGCAAAATTTGTTTTTTATAGAAAAAATTATTATATTTTTTTTTTTATTTATAAAATATAAATTATTGTATATTTTATAAAAAATACAAAGAAATTGTAACATTTTTTTTTAATTATTTCATTTTTCAAATGTTAATTAACATTTCTCTCTTCTTTTTCCCTCTCTCTCTCTCTCTCTCTCTCTCTCTCCCTCTTGTTTTTCTTTTTCAATTTGAAAGTTTCAAATTACTTTTTAAAAAGAAAGAAAGAAAAAACAAACAAACAAACAAAGAGAGAAAAATGATAAACAATTGAGTGAAAAATTTGATAAATGAATGAATCATTTGGGGATAATATTTTTGATGCAATCATTGAAATTTGATATTATTTCATTTTAAAGTATTACTTGTTATTACTTCTAGAAGATTAATAAAAATTTTATTTTTAAAATAAAAAAATATTAATTTAATTTTTTTTTTTTTTCATTTAAAATGTTTGTTTAATTTTTTTTTTTTTTTTTTTTAATAGGTTGAAATATTTTATTTTTTTTTTTGAAAATTTCTTCGTAAAAAATTGTATTTATTCAATTTTAAATTTATTTCTTATTTTTTTTTCTTAATAAATAAACAATGACAAATTTTCATTTATAGAATTAATTTTGCTATAAATGCATTAATCACTAAATTTAAATTTATTAAAAAATTATTAAAATAAATGCTATAATTATTAAATTTATATTAAAAATAAAAATAATAAATTTATTAAAATTATCTAAAACTTATTGTCATTTATTACTTATTCTAAAGTTATCAAAAATAATTAATTAATAATTAATTTGCTAAATTATTTCATCTTTTTTTTTTTTTTTTTGAAATTTCACATTTGGTAAATCTTGGAAATTTAAAAAAAAAAAAAAAGAATTAAAAATTGCGTTTTTTTGTTGTTGATAAACAAAGTATAGAATTTGAGGGATAAAGCAATAATAAATAATAAAATTAAATTTGAATTCAATAATAGAAATTCAATTTTAAGTTTTTAATTTTGTACAACAAATTTTTGTTTTTCTTTTTTTGAAAAAATAATGAAAGTTTGTTAACTGAGTAAATTAATTAATGGCTTATTTACAATTAGCTTAAGATATTGGCGTGAAGAAAAAAAAAAAAAGAAAGAAAAAAAGCGCACCGCGCCGTCTACTAACAGCGCCTATCAATGCGTTCCACATTTCATTTTCAATCGAACATTTTTGAAAATGTTCGATTGATTCTATCATTGTTTATTATTACTATTTATTATCATCGTTATCACTATTATTAGAATCGTTATCATTATTTATTGACATCGTTATCATTATTTATTATCATCGTTATCACTAACTGTTATCACCGTTGTCACTATTTATTATCATCGTTATCGCTATTTATTATCTATTTTTTTTCTTTATTATCATTATTATTGACATCGTATTTTATTTTTTTATTACTATTATTGACATCGTTATCATTATTTATTATCATCGTTATCACTAACTGTTATCACCGTTGTCACTATTTATTATCATCATTATCACTACTGTTAACATCGTTATCACTATTTATTATCACCGTTATCACTATTGTTAACATCGTTATCGCTACTTATTATCATCGTTATCGCTATTATTAACATCGTTATCATTATTTATTATCATCATTATCACCAACTGTTATCACCTTTGTCACTATTTATTATCATCGTTATCACTACTATTAACATCGTTATCACTATTTATTATCACCGTTATCACTATTGTTAACATCGTTATCGCTACTTATTATCATCGTTATCGCTATTATTAACATCGTTATCATTATTTATTATTATTGTCATCACTATTTATCATCGTTATCACTATTGTTATCACTGCTAACACTCATCAATTAATGATTTATTGCTATTATTATTATTATTATTATTATTATTATTTGTATCATTTTTGATTGCTTTTTTGTTATCGCCCATTATTATTATTATTATCATTTTTATTTTTATTATAAAAATAATATTTATTAATTTAATTTTATTCAAAATATTAATTTTCAACTTCAATTTTAGATTTTTATCCTTATCACTATTATTATTATCACTGCTATTATTTATCAGTTAATGATTTATTGCTATTATCATTTCTGATTGCTTATTTTGTCATCGTCCATTACTTATTATTATTATTATTATTAAAATTATTATTATTATCATTTTTATTTTCAATTATAAAATTATCATTTATTAATTTAATTTTATTCAAAATACTAATTTTCAACATCAATTTTAGATTTTTATTTAATTTTTTTCTCAATTTTTTTTTTTTTTTTCCATTTTTGTTTGTTCTAAAAAAGTATCTTTTAACAGTGCAAATTTTTTCAAATGAAAATGATAAAATTTTAGCAATTAATTATAAATTGAAAAAAAAAAAAATATTTTTTTTGTGTAAAATTATCAGATAGAAAAGAAAAGAAAAAACAAAAAAGCATTGTTAACAAATTTATTTCAAATTTAATTTCCAATTTGTTTGAAAAATTTTTGTAATTAAATACCAAAATAAAAAATGAAAATTTCAGATTGATTAAAATATTATTTTAAAAAAAAAAAAAAAAAAAATGCGATGTTTTGATTTGCCATGTCAAATATTTTTTATCGATGAATATGATAATGATGCTCGTTCCACACATCGATGTTGTGGTGGTACAGTTCATATTAAAGTAATTTTTTATTTTAAATTTTTTAATTTAATAAAATTTAAATTTTATTGCTTAAAAATGTTTTTTTTAAAAAAGGAAAAAACATTTGAAATTTTACACTTTAATTATTAATTTAATAATTAAATTTAAATTTTATTGTTTCAAAAATTAATTTTAAACAATCATTTTTATCATTTTATTAGTATATTTCATTTCATTTCAATTTGTTTTTTTTTTTTTTTTTTTGTGTTTTGATTTATAAAATTAGAAAAAAGAAAGATTTGTTAAAATATTTTTTTTTTTAAAAAATGAGTTTATTTTCATTCAAAATTTCACTTTCATTTTTCATTTGTATTTTATTATTAAATTTTTCATTTATTTTATTTATTTTATTATTTTCTTATTTATTATTTTATTTTATTATTGTATATTTGTCATTTTATTTATTATTTTATTGTTAAATTTTTAATTCATTTTATTTTATTATTGTATATTTTACTATTTTATTTTATTATTTTATCATTTTATTATTATTTTATTTATTATTGTATATTTTATTATTTTATCAATTTTTTTTATTATTTTGTTATTATTTTTATATTTTATTATTAATTATTATTTTATTTTATCATATTATTAATTTATTTATTATTTTATTTTATTGTTAAATTCCTAATTCATTTTATTTTATTATTTTATTATTATACATTTTATTATTTTATTTTATCATATTATTAATTTATTTATTATTTTATTATTATATTTTGTTGTTAAATTCTAATTCATTTTATTTTATTATTTTATTATTATACATTTTATTATTATTTTATTTGTTATTGTATATTTTATTATTTTATCAATTTATTTTATTATTTTGTTACTATTTTATTATTGTACATTTATTATTTTATTTTATCATTTTATTATTATTTTATTTATTATTTTATTTTATTGTTAAATTCCTAATTCATTTTATTTATTATTTTATTATTATACATTTTATTATTTTATTTTATCATATTATTAATTTATTTATTATTTTATTATTATATTTTGTTGTTAAATTCCTAATCATTTTATTATTATTTTATTTATTATTTTATTATTTTATTTGTTATTGTATATTTTATTATTTATCAATTTATTTTATTATTTTGTTACTATTTTATTATTGTACATTTTATTATTTTATTTTATCATTTTATTATTTTTATTTATTATTTATTTTATTATTTTATTTTATTTTATTATTATTTTATCATTTTATTATTTTATTTATTATTATTTTATTATTTTATTTATTGTTAAAATTCCTAATTCATTTTATTTTATTATTTTATCATTTTATTATTATTTATTTGTTATTGTATATTTTATTATTTTATCAATTTATTTTATTATTTTGTTTTATTTTATTATTATTTTATTATTTTATTTTATCATTTATTATTATTTTATTATTTTATTTTATTGTTAAATTCCTAATTCATTTTATTTTATTATATTATTACTTTTTATTTATTTTATATTATTCTATTATTTTATTTTATTTTATTATTGTATATTTTATTATTTTATCAATTTATTATTATTTCATTACTTTTGTTTTATTATTATTTTATTATATTATTATTTTATTTATTATTTTATCATTTTATTATTGCACATTTAAATAATTTATTTCATTTTTATTTACTATTTATTTTATTATTTTATTATTATTTAATTTTATTATAAATAATTTATAAATTATATTAAAAAATAATTTTTTTTTTTTTTTTCACAAATACATATGAATTTATTGATTTTTCTGGCGCAATAGTGAAACATACAATTTATTGATTAGTTTTTTTTTTTTTTTTTTTTCTTTAAAAAAAAATTGAAATTTTTTTTATAGATGGCAACATTATACGTAGCAGCATCAGCGCTAATATTATGTGCTTTCAATACTGCTAGCGTTTATTTTGGCGTATATTCCGTGAACTTTACGCTTGATATTACGTTAACTATTATCAATGCAATTACCGCCACAATGATTTTTTATGCTTTATATTATGAAAAAGCAACATTTCTAATTCCATTCATTGTTACTTCCGTTTGTTTCCATTTTTTTTTTTTTGAAAAAATTAAAGTTATATTTTTTTTAAAAAAAAAAAATTATTCAAATTATTTATATTTGAAATAATTTTGTAAAATTATTAAAAAAAAAAAATAAATAAATAAGTGTAAAAAGTAAAAACAAAAAAAAAAAAAACTTAGATTTATTTAATAAAATATAATAAAATAAAATGATAGCAAAAATTTTATCAATTTATTTAATCGATTTTTTTTTTTTTTATCAATTTTTAATCATTAATCAATTGATGATAATTTAAAGAGGTAAGTAAGCTTTATCAGATAAAATTATCAATGAAATTTTAATCATTAATCAATTGGTGATAATTTTAAAGAGCTAAGTAAGCTTTATCAGATAAAATTATCAATGAAATTTTAATCATTAATCAATTGATGATAATTTTAAAGAGCTAAGTAAGCTTTATCAGATAAAATTATCAATGAAATTTTAATCATTGATCAATTGATGATAATTTTAAAGAGCTAAGTAAGCTTTATCAGATAAAATTATCAAAATTTAAAGTTTTTTTTTTTGAGATCAATTGCTGTTTAAGATCAATAAGATTGATCGATTGATTGATTGATCGATTGGTGTTTCTGCTAAAAGTAAATAAAATAAATACTTTTGATTATCGTCAAAAAAAAAAAAAACGGAAAAACAACAGAAAAAAAAAAGTAGAAAGAAAAATGCCGCATAGATTAATTATTTTTCAAAGTAAATTTTTGAAAAGTAAAAGTAAAAAAAAAAAAAACAAAAAATTTTTCTTTTAATAATAAATTCATACTTTTTTTTTTTTTGTATAATTTATTTATTTATAATTATATGATAAATTGTAAATAATTTGAAGTAAAAATTTTTGAAAAAATTTAAATTTATGAAGCAAACAAAATAGTTTAATTAACAAAGACTTATTGTTAATTAGATTAAAAAAAAAAAGTTTTTTCATTTAAATTTTTAAATTTTTCAAAAAAAAAAAAAAATGTTTAAAAGTTTGTTTTTGTTTTTGCTTTTCAATAAAACTATCATTTTTCTTGTTCAAATTTTGCTTTTTTTTTTTTTTTTTGCAAACATATGCATAGTATTAAGAATGCTTAATATAATTTAATTTTAATTTACTTTTAAATTTATATTTTAATTTACTTTGAAATTTTAAAATGATTATATCAGTTAGTTAAAAGTAATAGTATAAAAATAATGATAACATTATCAAATATATTATCATTTGCAATCAATCAATATTAATTATGTTGAGACAATTAATTAATTTCAAATTTACTTTAAAATTTTATCAGTTAGTTAAGTTAGTTAAAAGTAATAGTATAAAAGTAATGATAACATTATCAAATATATTATCATTTGTAATCAATCAATACTGATTATGTTCAGGTAATTAATTTCAAATTTACTTTGAAATTTTGAAAAGATTATATCAGTTAGTTAAAAGTAATAGTATAAAAGTAATGATAACATTATCAAATATATTATCATTTGCAATCAATCAATACTGATTATTTTGAGGTAATTAATTTCAATTTTACTTTAAAATTTTATTATCAGTTAGCTAAAACTGATATTGCATAAGCAAGTAATGATAACATTATCAAATATATTATCATTTGCAATCAATCAATACTGATTATTTTGAGGTAATTAATTTCAAATTTACTTTGAAATTTTGAAAAGATTATATCAGTTAGTTAAAAGTAGTAGTATAAAAGTAATGATAACATTATCAAATATATTATCATTTGCAATCAATCAATACTGATTATGTTCAGGTAATTAATTTCAAATTTACTTTGAAATTTTGAAAAGATTATATCAGTTAGTTAAAAGTAATAGTATAAGTAATGATAACATTATCAAATATATTATCATTTGTAATCAATCAATACTGATTATGTTCAGGTAATTAATTTCAAATTTACTTTAAAATTTTATTATGATTATATAATCATATATAATTAACTGATATTTATGATCAGTTAGTTAAAAGTTATTTAATTATATAATCATATAATATATATAATAAATATTAACTGATATAATCATAATAAAATTTTAAACTAAATTTGAAATTAATTAATTATCTCAACATAATTGAAATTAATATTTCAGTTAGTTAAAAGTAATGATAACATTATCAAATATATTATCATTTGCAATCAATCAATACTGATTATGAATCAATCAATCAATCAATCGATAATAGAAATTAAAAGTTTTTTTTTAATGCTAAATGTTTAGCATTAATTTAAATTTTTTTAAAATTAATTTTTTTTTAAAAAATTTTCAGATAGCTCAATGTGCAGGTTTTCTTCTTTTGGCTATTTATACATTATATTATACAATAACATATAGAAAACAAACATTTAATAGGAATTTGGTTTGTTTAAAAATAATTTTTTGTAATTTTTACATTACTTTTATCTCTTTCTAATCGTTTATATCATTTAATCTTTGATTAATTAATTAATTAATTAATTAAAATTGAGTTAAAAATTTTTTGAAATTGTATAAAGAAGTAAGTTAATTTTTAAAATTACTATTTATATACATTTGAAAGGATCCTATTCTGTTATTAATGAATCCTGTAATTAGTTTTTTTTTTAATTAATTAATTAATTAATTAAAACAATTTCTTTTTTATTTATAATTATTAGTATTACTACTAAAATTGACATTATTATTATTATTATTATTATTATTATTATCATTACTATTATTATTGTTATTATCAATATGCCATTATTATTGTTATTGTTATTATTAATATGCCATTATTATTGTTATAATTATTAGTATTACTACTAAAATTGACATTATTATTGTTATTATTAATATTATTGTTATCATTACTATTATTATTGTTACTGCCATTATTATTATTATTATTATTATTATTATTATATTAATATGTAATTATTAGTAATACTACTATTACATTATTATTATTATTATTATTATTATTATTATTATATTATTATTATTATATTATTATTATTATTATTATATTATTATTAATACTACTATTGACATTATTATTATTATTATTATTATCATTATTATTATTTATTTTTATTACTATTATTATTACTAATTCTTTCTAATCTAAAAATAACTTATTTGTAAACCAATCAATGAACAAACCAAATTAATTTAGAAATTAAAACAAGAAACATTGCAAATATATTATCATTTCTAGTGGTCTTTTTTTCAAACTACAAAAGCAAAAAAAAAAAAAAAAACAAAAACCTAAAATTAAATTTAATTTTAATTTCAGATCAAGTACTAATGACTGTTAGCATATTTCTTGGTGTAATAATTTCCACATGGTCATGGATTGTTGCAGCTAAATGCTATAAATATTTGAAACAACAAATTACTAATTTCAATGAAACAGCAAAAGAACGATGTCTTTGGCGGTGATAAATAATTAATTAATTAATTAATCATAATTGCTAAAATTTTTTTACAAATTTAATTTTTAATTTTTTTTTTTTATTTTCTTTTTTTTTTTTTTCTAAATGATTCCTTTTTTTTTTTTTTTTTTTGTTTGACAAATAATTAATTATTTGTCCTATAATTTATCAAAAAAATTATTTTATTTTATTTATTTTTTTTTTTTTTTTTTGATTTCTATGATTAATTAGTTTTTATCAAAAAAAAAAAAAAATGAGTAAAAATATAGTATAAAAAATTGAAAATTACAATTTGTTACATTTCACGTAATTATTACTTAGTTACGTGAAATGTATAAGTACGTGTTAAAACTACGCCATTTTTTTTTTTAAGTTTTTAAGTAATTTATTTATTTATTTAATTTTTTTTTTTTTTTTTTTTTGGAAAAATTTCTTGCATATAATTTAATTATTTGAATAAATTTTTTCATTTCAATTTTGTCATTTTATTGAATGAATGAACTAAATTAAATATTTTATTTAAAAAAAACAAAAAAATTTAATTAATTCATAATGATTTTTTAAAATTTTGAAAGAAAAAAAATTGATATTTTATTTGTTTTTAAATTTTAAATTAATTAAAAATTCAAAACGTTTTGATTAAATTTAAATTATCTGAATAAGTTGAGATTTCTTCATTTTTTTTTTTTTGTTAAATTTTTATTTGTTTTCTTCATTTGATTTGAAAAAAATTAATCGAAAAAATTTGGGATCATTCAAGAGTTAAATTTAAAATTTATTTGCTAATATAATTGTTTCATTTCATTTGTCGTTGTATTAAAATAAAAGAATAAATTAATAAAAATTTTTTAAAACTTTTTTTGTCGAGATTTTCAAGAATTTTCGAGAGTGATCAAAGGAGCAATGTTATTTTGAGCGATGTTTCTATCATTGATCAATCATACATTTTGAGGGGACATTTCATTATTACAATTATAAAATAAAATAAAATATACAATCATATTATCACTGATAACAAATGTTATCACTGATTGTGAGTTAATCTAATGAATTTTATTTTAAACAATTTTTAAAAATTTAACTTTCAGTTTCGATAAATATTTTTTTTTTTTAAATTAATTTCTTATTATCGGATGAATTTTTCTTTTTTTTTGTACAATTAATGAAATTATGCAAACTTAATAAAATCTACAAATGCCAACTAATTAATTAATTAATTTGAAGATCAAAGCATCAAATTATATAAGCTTAATGAAAGTTTGATGAGGCGCAAAAATCTATTAATTGAATTTGATGAGGCGCAAAAATCTATTAGCTAAATTTGATAAGCGCAAAAAATCTATTAGCTAAATTTGATAAGCGCAAAAATCTATTAGCTAAATTTGATAAGGCGCAAAAATTTATTAGCTAAATTTGATAAGCGCAAAAATCTATTAGCTAAATTTGATAAGGCGCAAAAATCTATTAGCTAAATTTGATAAGCGCAAAAATCTATTAGCTAAATTTGATGAGGCGCAAAAATTTATTAGCTAAATTTGATAAGCGCAAAAATCTATTAGCTAAATTTGATAAGGCGCAAAAATCTATTAGCTAAATTTGATAAGGCGCAAAAATCTATTAAGCGCAAAAATCTATTGACTGAATTTGATGAGGCGCAAAAATCTATTAGCTAAATTTGATAAGGCGCAAAAATCTATTAACTGAATTTGATGAGGCGCAAAAATTTATTAGCTAAATTTGATGAGGCGCAAAAAGAAATTTTTTTTATTTGTTATCGATAATAATTTACAATCTTTAAATAAAAATTTTTGAAATCATTTACTAAAAATTTAGTTAGACGAATTGTTTTTTTTTTGCATAACTTTATTCCAATTTTTTAAAATAATGAATTGAAGAAATCACTAAATTAAGTAATTTAAAAAAAATTTTTTCAAAATGAAAAGCATATAACAAAAAATTTATATTTTAGTAAATTTTATTTTTACTTCAAAACTTTTTCTTTTTTTTTTTTTAAATTTCAACAAATTTGATAATATCTGATTGTGTTATCAATATCAGTTGCATTGATTAGAAAAGTTTACATCAAATTTTAATCATCCATGTCAGTAAACAATTTTATAAATTTATCAGTTAGATCGTTCAAATATTTATAGCAATTAGCTGAGTAAAATAAATTTTTGAGAAAAGGAGAGTAAAATAAATTTTTGATTAAAATAAACAAATTTACATTTCCATTTTTTTTTTTTCATAATCAATAAAATTGTTTTTCACAAATATCAGTGATAAATTAATTGATAAAAACATTTGCAAATTATATATCAATCTTCCATACTAGTAAACAATTTTATAAATTTATCAGTTAGATCAATAAAAGAAAAAAAAAAAAAAAAAGGAGAGTAAAATAAATTTTTGATTAAAATAAACAAATTTACATTTCCATTTTTTTTTTTTTTTTCATAATCAATAAAATTGTTTTTCACAAATATCAGTGATAAATTAATTGATAAAAACATTTGTAAATTATATATTAGAAAGGTGTGGTTGCTTAGAAGAAGATGAAATTATTATATTTGTTAATTTTGTTAATTATTTTAATTTGTTTATCTTTGCCGACATTTGCCCTTACAATAAATGAAACATTGCAATGGAGTAATCATAGTAAAAATGTTAGTTTTTTTTTTTTTGAATTTCAAGAAAAAAAATTCTAAAAAACGTATAATTTTGCCATCTATAAAATTTCTCTTTTTTTTAAAAAAAAAAAAACTAATCAATAAATTGTATGTTTCACTATTGCGCCAGAAAAATCAATAATTCATATGTGTGTGTGTGTGTGTGTAAAAAAAAAAAAATTTATTTGCTATAATAAAATTATTTAATAATAAAATAATAAATAGAATAATAAAACAATAAAATATACAATAATAAAATAAAATTTTCTAAAACAAAAATTATACTAATTTTTTCTCTTTTTTTTTAAATGAAATTTTATAACATTTGTAATATTAATCTCATTTAAAATACCATAAATAAAATATATTAAAATTTTTTTTTTTAACTCGTTAAAAAATACCAAAAAGAAAAAGTTAGATTTTAATAATATTAGAAGGAAAAAAATTAGATTTAATATTTGATTTAAAAAAAAAAAAAAATTGAAATTTTATAATTAAAGTAATTAGATGTTGTTAATTGGGAAAGTTGGTTAATTAGCGCAAATTTTTAATGATTAAATTTTTTGCATACTCAATGAGAACTTTTTCAAATAATACTTTTTTTTAATTTTTTGATTTGAAATTAGCAAAATTTTCTCACTCACTAAATTTTCTTATTTACAAAAAATAAAAAATAAAAACTTTTACAATTTGAACTGTTCGATAATTTTAAACTTTCTTTCTTTAAGTTTTTTTTTTTTTTTTTTTTCTATTTGACAAAACAAAAAACTTTTTATTTTTCTCCTTTTTTTTTTTTTTTTTTTTGTGAAAAAAATGATGAATTTTTGAAAGAAAATAAAAAATCAAACTTTTTTCTTCTTTTAAAAATCAATTTGTATTGGAAAAATTTTTTAAAAAATAATAAAATTAGTTATAATTTAATGTTTCTTTTCAATGCATTTCAAATAAACAATTATTTATTCAATAAAATTGCTTAAATTGCATTTTTCACATTAAAAATTAGCTTTAAAAAAAAAAAAAAAAAAAAAAAAAAAAAACATTTTCCTATATGACTGATAATTTGAAAGTAATGTACAAAGCTTTTTGCATCAATTTTAAAATTTTAAATTTTATATAAGATAATTTCAAAACAATAATTTTTAATTGCTTTCATCCCACCTATAAACAATTTATTTATTTATTTATTTTTTTTTTTTTTTTTTGCTTTTTTGTTATGAATTAATCAATTTAGTGTAATTTTAAATAATTTTTAACTAATTGCATACATTCGTTGAATGATTTATGATTTATTTATTTGTTTATTTATTTATTTATTTATTCTCGAGATGAGAAATTATTTTCAATAATAAAATTGCAAATGTGTTAAGCAATTAAATTTAACGATGTGTTCGTTATACTGAAACGGTGATAAAATGATAAAGTTAATCAGTGATAACAGAATTTGAGTTTATTAAATTTAGTAATAATAAATAATCGTTGAATATATTTAGTAGTATTATTGATGTTAATAAGAAAAGCAAATCTATTTCAACTTATTACAAATTTTTGTATTCTTTTGAGAAGAATGACAACAAAAGTGAATTTGAAAAAAAAACAGGAAAACAACTAGGAAACATCGAAAGGAAAAAGTATGTGTATGTATGTATGTGTGTGTGTCTGTATGTATGTGTGTATGTCTGTGTCTGTATGCGTGTGTGTGTGTCTCTATGTGTGTATGTCTGTATGTATGTATGTGTGTATGTCTGTATGTATATGCGTGTCCGTATGTATGTATGTGTGTGTGTGTCTGTATGTATGTGTGTGTGTGTGTCTGTGTGTGTGTGTGTCTGTGTGTGTGTGTCTGTGTGTGTGTGTGTGTGTGTGTGTGTGTGTGTGTGTGTCTGTGTGTGTGTGTGTGTGTGTGTGTGTGTGTGTGTGTGTGTCTGTGTGTGTGTGTGTGTGTGTGTGTGTGTGTGTGTGTGTGTGTGTGTGTGTGTGTGTGTGTGTGTGTGTGTGTGTGTGTGTGTGTGTGTGTGTGTGTGTGTGTGTGTGTGTGTGTGTGTCTGTCATTTATGATAGTGAGGCAATGGCATCAGAAATAGGAAACATCGAAAGGAAAAGTATGTGTTACGATACAGAGAGACAGTGATGTCATAGGTAGGAAACATTGGGATGCAAAGAGTGTGTGTACGTGCGAATGTGTGTTATTTGTGATACAGAGGCCA